TGGTAGAATACTCATCTGATTAATGCAATGGATATGGGTTTTCCTCATTTTTCATTTTCAATTCTACAATTTGATCTTGGGAGCAGAGATATTGCTAGTCTTTACCATTAGTAGGAAGGATCTAATGCAAGGGATGCTGCTGGTGGGTTTTTATTTTTACTATTGTGGTCATGGTGTGTTTTAAAATTGCTGAAATATCTTTATAAAAACATAGCTTGAAATTTACTCACTTAGAAAAGGGCTATTTTAGAAAACTACCACGTCTTAATTTTATTCATCCCTTTGATATGGTATTTTTCTTGATACTTAAATATCAAATCTGTGCATGCTTGAAAGTTTTGGCTTGGTTTTAATCATCCTTTCCCAGATGTTCACTTGGTTGGAGCGATTCCAGAGGAGGCCATGAAGATGCTCAGAGGGCTGGAGCAGCTCTGCTATGGGGACAGGCTGAGAGAGTTGGGCTTGTTCAGCCTGGAGAAGAGAAGGCTCCAGGGAGACCTTATTGCAGCCTTCCAGTACCTGAAGGGGCTACAAGGAAGCTGGGGGCGACTTTTTACAAGGGCCTGTAGTGACAGGACAAGGGGTAACGGGGTTAAACTGAAAGTGGGGAGGGTTAGATTAGATATCAGGAAGAAGTTCTTCACGGAGAGGGTGGTGAGGCACTGGAACAGGTTGCCCAGAGAAGCTGTGGATGCCCCATCCCTGGAAGTGTTCAAGGCCAGGCTGGATGAGGCTTTGAGCAACCTGGTCTAGTGGAAGGTGTCCCTGCCCATGGCAGGGGGGGTGGAACTAGATGATCTTTAAGGTCCCTTCCCACCCAAACCATTCTGTGATTCTATGATTCACTTCAGTTCTGAGAGCTAGCTAGAAGCTTATCTGGACAAATTATACTGTAATCAATGTCTACAATAATATAAAATTTTTGTAAGCTGCCTCAGGATTTGACTGTAGTGGATGTGCTTGAAGTGGGTAGTGAATGTTTTGTTCACCAGGAGCATTAGTTCTTCTGTTATTTACCTAAGTACTGATTTGAATTTGTTAGGAAGGATTTCCCTACTTTCCCCAGATCTGTCTCATGAGATCTTAGTTTAAGGAAAGACAACCAGCAGGTAGTGTGAATGAAGCTTAACAGCTTTGGTATCTGGGAAAACAGATATCTTCAGTAATAACTGCACGAATTGAATGCATCTCAGCACTCAATGTATTATGTATAATGCCATCTGTAGAAAAGGTTTACAGAGTTAAAAGGGTTTTTGCCAAGGCTGGATTTTGCCTAGTGTAACTGATTTCTCCTACATTCTTCTCAAGTTAATTGCACAAAAAGTGAGTTCTCTAGAGGCTCATTCAGTGCAGGCTAATGTATCCCCACTGAGTAAAAAGAAATTTAACCTCATGGAGCTAAAATTAGCCTTTTCGAACACTTCTCTAGGTGCTTCAAGTCTTTAGGAGTTACACTTAGTGTCAGATATAGTAAAAGGGAGGAGCAAACCCAGAATGTAAGGTGGCAAAATAAGATATAATTGTAAAAGCACAGATGTCTGCTTGTCAAGTTAATTGATCTTTTTCCTAAGATGCATACGTGGCTTTCATTTCAAATGCTGAAGAGCAATATTTTTGTTTAATTTGCTCTTGTGAGGAAGCAGAAGGATGGTCTCTCTGCTGGTTCATGTGGACAAAGGCGTGCTCGCTGAGAGCGCGCTGGAACTTCGGTAACACAATAGCATTAAAATCGCTGGTACACAGTTAACTTGCCTGCTTTGAGCGTTGCACAGTCAGCTGCAGAATAGATCCCAGGTTTGTTTATTGCAAAAGTTTGAAGGAGTGTTGTGGATAAGGCAGTGTGTTTTCATTGAAAAATGAAAAAAGATTCTTACAAATCCATTTAAATCTTGACAAAACTGAGTCATTTTCCCTCTTTCTGAGAAAATGGTTAAGCAGATTCAGCAATTTCTTTCCCAAGAAGAACTGAAAATTAAGTGTAATGTGGCACCCTGCACAGCAAACCTCAATTCAAACAATTAAGATTTAACAAGGTTGTAAGTAACTCCTCTGTGAACTATTTGGGCTTCATTAATCACTGGTTCTAGGTCTGTTTAGTGATGTCGGGGAAGTGCTGGCTACAGTAAACATGATTCCTTTTTTTGTCTAGGCCCCAAGCTGTTAGAAGCACTGAACACGCTCTCAGAATTGAACATCCCTAAGTGGTCTCTAGCTGGCTTTCCTCTGCTCTTTGTTTCTTTTGTGATACTCTCTCTGAAAAGCGCATGGGTTTCTCTCGCCGATACAGATGTGGATGAGTTGTCCAAAGAGCGACACTTGCAGAAGAAGGTCACTGCCCTTGTGAATCTGCTGGCTTTTCTTGCTTTCATTCACAGCTTCAGTATTTTAGACATATACATAGGCCTGTTCCTCGGCTGTCAGCGAACATCTGTGAAATCTGCAGGCCAAGAATGTGCTTCCTTGTCTCCATAAAGGGTGAAGAAGTGACACAGAGACATGGCAATGTATTACTTCTGTCTGGCCTTTCCTTGGCAGAGGGTTTAAACTCCTCCATGAACTGTATGCTCTCATAATGATGTCACATGATGGATTTCTTGGGCTTTGCTTTTTATAGTTTGCTGCTATGAAGAAAACAAAACAAACCCAGCCAGTTCTCAGGGCAACAGTCAACAGGTTTCATCAGAAAGCCATTGTTTTCTACCCCACAAGTCCCCACGCCTTTTGACTATTGCAAAAAAAACCAGTAATCTTGGCTAGTTTCTTTGGTTTCACAAGCCTGGCTCATTTCCTGAGTGGGTTTTTGGTGGTTGAAAGTGGCAGTAGTCCTAAGGAAAAGCGTGTGTACGTGCATAAGCACATTTGTTTTATCATATTTACAGTAATACAGAATTTGAGTTAGGACTGTAGCCGCAGTGCTATTTCAGGCTATCTGTAACTTTGGGGTGCTTAACCCCAAACTTAATTATTTCCCCCCCCCACCCCCCCCTTGACACTTGGGAGAGAAGGAGGAGAAATGAATTAATAAGCTGTTATGAGTTGGAGTATATGTTAATAGATATTGTTCTGTGAAAGAACTATATTCTCATTTCTGGTTTTGGTAGCCCCAAAGGTACAACTACAGAGCTAGAAAATATGTCTAGCTGTTGCTTACTTAGCTTTACAGAGTTCACAGATCCTGTGAAAGTGTGCCTCTTTCTCCTTTTTCCTTTCTCCTTTTTTCTTTTCCTTTCTCTGATGTATTTTAATGCTTGATTTTGACAAACCTTACTGAATAAACCAAGAACCTGAACTTATTTCTCATTCGGGTGAAAAATTCAACCACTGTTACTTCTCCAGTGGTTTGTTTCCAATGTCCAGATGAGCTGGTAGCCCAGTGTAAAGATAGTGTTAGAGAAAAGCCTCAGAATGAGAGTGAATTATGACCTTAACTTTCAAGCTTCTCCCTGCTGTCCCCATCGGTGCTGTCTCTCCATAAGGTCTGCATGCTGCATACAGCATTCCTATGTTCTGTGTAACCAGCCAGAAGCAGCTTGTGATCTTAAATGCTTTAAAGAGAACGTTTGCAGCGTGACATTACTGTGTACGTGGCTAACATGCAGCATAATGGAACAGGGATTTTAATATTTACAGCATGTTACGTAAATGCTGCCCTTCTGAGTATTTTCTAAATCCTCTTAGCTCTTAAGTGACAGCTTTGATTCTTTTTTTTAATAAAATCAGTCTTTTCACTTATCCAGCTAAGTTTGGTAAACAAAAGATGTTTAATACTTCCTTTCATATAGGCAGATTCTTGTATTCAAGGGTTTATCTTTGTGCACTTAAGCTTATTAGGTTCCTGGGTACCTATTTTTAAAAAGCTGACTTCGCAACAGCAGTTCATGGTGCAGAGGTTGCCTTTGGAATATTCTGTGCTTTGCCAGTGCATACTGTGAATAGATAAGCTCCGCAGGATTGCCATAAGTGGAGCAGCGTGGGGTATGGTATGCAACTGCCACGTGGGTATTTGAATTGTGTTTTGCTAGACAAATAGTAGGGAAGACTTTTTGAGTTTTGGTCTGTGTGTATGTAGGTATATACGTACTGCTTTTAAAAATTGAGTGAGATAAGGATTGTGCTGTAGGAAAATAAAAAGAAGGAAAATTGTGGCAAAATTCTGGATAACTATGGGGATTTTTTTCTTTAAAGCTCTACAGCCATAAGTTTTTACTGTGCTTTGATTGTGCTCTGTCATTTATTTTTCATAAAGTGGTAGACGCAGGTATTCACAAGAACTGCAAAGGCTTTAGAAGGATGACAGAAGGTGATGCAAAAGACCTGACACGGGCAAAAAGGTGGTGGGGAGCTTCTAGTATGATTGGGCTCTTTATACTTCAGTATGTGTGAGATTCAGGGTGTCAGTTCAGGGGAGGCTTTTTTTTTGTCCTGGGGAAGCAAGACAGATAAGAAGTGGGTTCAAAATACTTGCGAGCCATGCAGAAGCATGCTCTGTGCAAATTTTAAATCAAAGACTTCAATGTTTTTCTGGCAGTGTTATGCTTCAAGAGCTGGAGAGGAGGAGGCTCCAGGGAGACCTTATTGCAGCCTTCCAGGACCTGAAGGGGCTACAAGGAAGCTGGGGGGGACTTTTTACAAGGGCCTGTAGTGACAGGACAAGGGGGAATGGGTTTAAATTGAAAGCGGGGAGGTTTAGATTAGGTATCAGGAAGAGTTTCTTCACGAAGAGGGTGGTGAGGCACTGGCACAGGTTGCCCAGAGAAGCTGTGGATGCCCCATCCCTGGAAGTGTTCAAGGCCAGGCTGGATGAGGCTTTGAGCAACCTGGTCTAGTGGAAGGTGTCCCTGCCCATGGCAGGGGGGTTGGAACTGGATGGTCTTTAAGGTCCCTTCCAACCCAAACCAGTGTGTGATTCTATGATTCTATTTGCCAGTTACACTGTTGCAGAGGATGGATGATGTTTTGTGCACACACTATGTTTGCATTTGCATTCTTTTTGCCTGTAGGTGACTGTGGAAGAAGTGATGACTACTACTGCATACCTGGATCTCTTCTTGCGAAGTGTTTCGGAGCCAGCCCTCCTCAAGATTTTCCTCCGTTTCATTTTGCTGCACCGACACGAGAACGTGCATATCCTAGACACACTGACTAGCCGAATCAACACACCGTTCCGGGTAAGGCAAGCAGGAAGGAAGTTCAAGTACTCAGTGTGGATGTAGGTTAAATAGTTAAAAGGGAGATTCCCTATATTCTCTGGGTTTCTGTTTAACTAGGAATTTTCTCCCCACCCCCAAATGTCCTTCTGGAAGTCTGGATTCTGTTAGAAGATTAAAGGTAAATTTGGGAGCATTTTTATTCTGGATACTGCTGAATTAGTGCTGCCATAGGTAACTCATGCTGGGACTTATAAATACACTTGTGGTGAGGAGCATTTTTGATCCCTGGAGTTTTGGCAAGCAACAAGGATTTTCAAATAGTCCTTCTGGGTGTGATGAGAGCCCTATAAGGATATCTCCAAATCATGAACTACAGTATTGCCAATAGATTTTTCAGGAATCAAGTCTGTATTGTTGTAGCATGTTTGCTTAACCTGCTTTCTACTTTGGTTGAAAGAAGGTGTTTTCTTGCTCAAGTGACCAGATTGCTGCTTCCTTTTCTTTACCTTCGCTCACCTGTGTAGTAAGGGTTATCACAGATTTGCAGGGAGCTCCTTTCGGCCTAAGCACCACACACCACAGTGGCTGGAGGGTGAGCAGACAGAGATGATAGTCACCTTTGCTAACAGTTGGATCTTCTGGCAGAGAAAACTGCCTCTTGTTGCGCTGGACTACCCTTCTGAGCCTTGCTTGGCTGGTGGTCTTGGCTGAATCTAGTGTGATGCTCAGCTTCACAGATGAAATAAAGACTATTGTTCTAGTGCAGGTGCAAGAGAAGCCAGAACACCAGCATGTGCATTAAACTTGAAGTTACTGTCCCTAGTGCGCATCTGAAATTTGTTTTGAAATGTGAGTGCTTGTGAATACGGATGTATGCTGATGTTACTGCATCTCTAAGATGGATTAACTCTGAAAACTGAAACATCTTCTCTTGACAAAAATGCAAATGCTGTTGTCTCTGCTAATCATTAATTACTGTTCCATAGGCAAACAAGATGGGAATTGTAAAGAATTCTGCAGCCCTGAGCAACTCAGGATCTGGGCCAAAATGGTTCTGTGATGCTGAGTTTTCTGCAGCATGGCTTGGCCAAGTGCAACAGCCAGAACTGCAGCCTTCTGTGTTTCCATAGCACAAAAACTCCATACGTTGTTACTGGTGAAAACACTTATTAATAATTCACAGGGTTAAACTTATGTACAGACAGGTGGCCACAAGGACTTGTAAAAATACTATCCTCTTTGTCTCCTGGGCATATATTAACTCTTTTCCTGTACAAAATACAAAAATAGACTAGCTTTACTTAGATGATTCCGGATTTGCAATACGGTTGCAAAGACGAACGAGAAAGGTTTCCCTATAAATGGAAATTTCCTAAATACAGGAAAATTTAGGGCAGGTGTTTTTGAACTTTCAAGGTATAAAGAAAAGTTAGACTTGGCTCTCAGTAAATTTGACAGAGGAGATTAGAATTTCTCTCCATCCCTCAGCTAAAACAAACCTTTCATGCAAGGATCTGGCTTCTTCCAAAAGCTTGTTTTGAAGCCCTTCAACTCCTGTTTCTATCAAGAACTCCAGTTCTGGTTATTTCTTCTTCTCTTGTCCCTTTACTTACTCCACCTATTTCTGTAGACATGAGGTCTTGGACTAACTAGCACCTTCCTGTTGTCTCCTAGTATAAGCAGTGGACAGTGGTGGCAGGACAAGTTTGAGCTCCACGTTGCTTCACTGCAGGCCAGCTCATGAGCGTTCCCTGGTTCACTTCTCGCTGCTTTTTCTCTTTCTCTTGCTCTTCTCTGGGCGTTAATTCAGTGACCAAACTAGGAAGGCAATCAAGGAGACTTGCTTTTCGGAGGCTATCAAGTGAGATTCATGTGAACTTTGTTCTGTTCCACAGATAGAGCTACCAAGTAAGGGAAAATAAACGTATGCGTGTATATATATATGAAACGTGTGTTGATGTGGTCCTGGTCACCGTAGGCAGCCAGTCTTATTGTAGGGGAGCTGCGTCATTCGTCTGAAAGAACAGGAAACAGTGAAACAAAGAGTCTTTGACACTTGTGAGAAAGCATGGGTTGGAGAGAGGAATATTGCAATGTGCCGCTCGCTGCAGAGCTGGAGTAGAGCATTTGAAGAGTGGGAGTGAGGGAAGTGACTGCAGAGAAGAGGAGGAAGTTCCATAGTGTGGAAGAGATGCCATGCCCAGGCAGGATGCTGGATTTAATCTTGAATGAATTATGAAGGATGTTCAGTGACTGAAAAAAGTACAGAAATATCTGTAGCTTTTTCCTTATTTGGTCCTAATCTGTTTCTTTTGTGAGCTACTGAAAAGTGCAATTAATTTCACATATTAATTATTTGAGTGCATATAATTAATATAGGGAGAGGCAAGATTTAAACACCAACTTGAAACTCTAGTGAAGGGTCAACCTCTGCTACATAATTCTTGCAGTTAACCTGGTCCTGAAGTTGAAGCCAGCAGTGAGAGACTGTTTCTAGGAGAGAGCAGTGTAGGAGAATGTGCCTGAGGAATTAAGAAGCAGGGAGGTGATTGTGCTGTGGTCCATGTGCTTCACAATGCTGGACATATCTGGGCAGTCTAGCAAGCATCTGGCAGGTAGAAATGTACTGTAGGATAGCTTTGAAAGTGTGGGGTGTCTAATTGGTGACCAAAAATCCTCTAGAAATCTGCATTTCTAGTCTGTCCTAAAGCCAGCGTGGAAGTGGGATGTCTGTCCCAGAATGGGTATGATTTTTTTTACCTCTGAGTGTGACTACTGAAATACCTAGTTATGGGTATGTTTGATCACGCCTTTGCCAAAAAGGCGAGCATGCAATTCCAATAAGGAATCCCATTTTTCATTGCTACCACCTGGTCTCACAGAAAGGGTTTTCATGCCTGGCTGTAGTTCCCAGCTGTTCCAGTGACCTGTAGTGGAGGGTCTGTGAACACTCCATATGGAGTAGATTCTCACAAAAATGACTTGTTTAGCCCTGGCCTATGTCAATACATCAAGCTATCTGTAGAGAAGCGTTCAGCTTCTTAACATGTAGAACACTAATTGTTCCTTATACGTAAAGCAACAGAAATTTGAGGTGGTTTGTAACTTTTCTTTCAAGAAGACTTTTAGTTGGTTCAAGCTCTGTGTTAGAGGTAAAAAGTAACACACCAGCCTGGAAGTTACAGGGTTCACTTCATGCTGAGTTAAATTAAATTAATGCATTTGAATAACATTAAAGAGTGGTAAATTACTACCTCTTCCAATAGCTTGTTTGAAGGAAAATCCTAGATTTTATTTTGAAAATGTAACAAGTTATGTGTATAGCTCTAGACAACTTAAAAAAAAAAAAGAATCCCATGGGATGCTGACAAAATGAAATATCATACTAGCAGTGTCTTATAAAGCATGATGTTCTGGTAGAGCCATTTTGTAATGTAGTATGCAGGGAAGATTGGAAAAGTACAATTTCCAGAGGAAAAACTGACAACATTTATCATTTTCCAGCTCTGTGTGGTCTCCTTGGCATTGTTCAGAACGCTCATTGGTTTGCACTGTGAAGATGTGATGTTACAGCTAGTTTTAAGGTAAAGCCCTAACTCCTTTTTCACTCTTCAGCCTAATTCTGGGACACACAGTCTCTGCCTGTAGATGCAGAGCTGGATGAGAGCTCTCCAAGACAGCAGAAATCCAAGCAACTAGAGAGATAAGAATATTTATGATCCTGACAGAAGTCTACCAGACCTGAAGAAGTGTGATTTACGTCCTGTGATCTTCAGGAGCAAGAGATTTTTCTTGTGATTTATTTCTATAAAAGTGAGAGGAGAGAAGCTAAGAATATATTTATCACCTCCAAACTACTTATTCCCTGCTTCTAAATGTATAATTCTCTCCTGCCTGTTTTCTCTAGTGTATTATACACTGTGATACAGAGCTATATACTTGTTTGCAGCTTCCACCTTCTTTCTTGTTGTTTTCCACCTCTTTGGCTCCTCTCTTACTGAGAATACTGCAGGTTCCCAGACTGCTGTAGGTAGATTGTTATGTAAGGCACCAAATGCGTGGACCATTTTTGCTTTTAATTGATGGTTCTGTGCATTGCTTCAGAATACTGGCTTAGAATTTTGGTGCGTTATTAAAGGATAATTGATTATTTGTTTGAAAATATTGGTGTAACTAAATAGGGCTTTTGGCACCATAGATCACATGAACATTTGAGGTACTCTCTGTCCCTCCCCCCACAGGCGTTAGGGAGAAATTCCCTGCAGGTCCGAGTGCTGTGCCTGGGAATGCTGTTAGGACCTCTGTGAACTCAAGTATGTTGCCACTCTAACAGCAGTAGAGTGCTGTATTTAATCTTCTGTTTGTTTATTTAGGGAATCCTTTAGAATTTGTTTGTGTTTTAAGTGGCAGAACATCAGTCCAGTTAACACTGGGGCTCTTAATAAAGCGCTCTTTAAAAGCTGAAGTGCTCTAAAGAAGGACTGTGCTTTCTCTGTTTCTTGTGCTCCCCATAGCTTATTCTGTCCTCTGCCTGAGTGCTGCCTTGATCTAGTGCATTGAAGCACCTTGATGACCCTTCCCTCCTTTTTGCTGGCTGCTTGCCTGTAATATGTAAACTATCTCTCTCTGGATTTCCCAGGACAACAAATATATTAAGGATTCCGAGACAGAACTTATTCATAGTGGGACCAAACCACCCTGCTAGCCTTTGGCATCTGCCCATCCCACACTTCCTCAATCCTTTCTTACAGCAAGCTTGCTCTGACCACCAAAGGATTGTTGACTTCGCCGTTACGATGCACCTGATCTCCTGTCTCTATTTGTCTTGAGAGTTCCTCATCAAACAGTAGCTTCGCAGTATAGAGTCGGGGTTTCATGCTCTGGAGAGGTTTAGAGTGTGGATCACTGTCAAGATTATTATCGCTGTTTCTTTTGATTTGGAGAGGGCAGGAAGATGGGAAGGGAATTTTGTGTGTTGTTACTGTCTCTGACATGGAAGGAGGATGAAGTAATGCTAGACGCTGCTGTTTCAGGTATCTGATCCCTTGTAACCACATGATGTTGAGCCAGCGGTGGGCTGTGAAAGAGAGAGACTGTTACTCTGTGTCTGCTTCAAAACTGCTTGCCCTGACGCCAGTCTGCTGCTCCACTGGGATCACCTTGACACTTGAAAGCCAAGGAAAAGATTATATTCTGTGGACAAAAGCAGCACAAACTAAAGGTAATTGGTGCTCGGGGAAGGCCAGATCATGAACCGAGTTTGATTTGGTAGCAGCTCATGTGAGGAGGTGGGTAGGGGAAGGAAATGTGGTAACATTTAACAGCTACCCAGCGTGAATATGCATTCATGAAATTAATGTGCTCCTACACGACTGTAGCTCTCGCTGCTTCAGTGGTCTCTGTCGTGTTAGGGTTTGGATGTGGGCCGGTCTCTTGGAAGTCTTGAGTTGCAGCTCTGTCTTGGCAGTAGGAACAAGTCGTGCATCGTTATGAGCAAAACTGTTATTAGTCTTTATGCTTTGCTCTTCCTGCCTGATTGGATGGTTGGGACTAAAGACTCTACCTGCCCTGCCTTAGAGGCTGCCTTGCTCAAGAACTTTGAGGTTGTTTTATTATGTCACAGTATGAGTCACCAAACTTCTTTACTTTCAGATTCTGGCGAATGTGGAAGAGCTGTGGACATCAGCTACTTGCAGTACTTGGGGGAAGCGCAAGAAGCCATCCTCCAGTGTCTGAAAGACTGTAAGGTTTGGTCTGCCTTGTATGATGGAGTAAACCCCGATCCAGACACCTTTATCCAAACACTTGCTGAGGAGAACAGTGCGGATGTGGAACACCCTATGTTTCGGCTCCAGCAAAGGACACCCAGCACATGTAGCTCGTCTCAAGTCACTCCATTCAGTGAGAAGATGCAGTTGGAGCTAGAATGGGATGATAGCTATGACACAGGGATTTCTCCTGGTTCTGATGTGAGCTCACCGCAACCATATGATGACCTGGGAAACACAGAGATGCAGCCACCTGTAGAGCCACCAAAACACATTCAAGAAATGAAAAAAAATGCCATCATGCTCATCAAAGGATCTTACATAGAGGAATCAGACTTTCAGGATGATGTTATGGTTTACAGGTTATGTGCCCAGAAGGATACTCAGGATGATGACAACTCCAGGGAGAAACCTGTAAATGTAGCCAGAGAACATGACGGCCAAAGCCAGACTGTAGTCAATGGTCCTCTTCTGAAGAGCCAGCTGGAAATGGACTCGGATGAGCACAGTAAGAGAAATTCAAGCTTGACTCAAGGTGCAATGAAAGAACAAATAAACCAGAAAATGATTGAGATTGATCCACAGCCAGACTTAGCGTTGAAGCTTTCTCCTCAGGAGGCAGATCGTAACTTAAGTGTAAGACTGCTGAGCACAGATGGTGAGGATTTCATTGCACAGTATGACAAAATTATTAAGGAGCTGGATGCAAACGGTGCAAGCTTGGAGGAGCAGAAGTGGGATGCTCCTGACCCTGCGTCTCCTGCAGAAGAGGAGGAGGACTTTGAGAATTTCTCAGCAGACACCCCTTCTGCAGAGAGCATGTCATCTCCCTTTGGACCAAAGGAGGATGTGTCTCCCAAGCACGCTGCAAGGAGCCAGGGTGCTCCGTTTACAGGTGGAATGTCCTGTTAATTACATACATAATGAATACAGGAAGGCGTGGTGGTTAAAGGGGGCCAAATGAGATCACACTGCGTGGCCCACGGCACAAGCACAGAGCAAGGAACACAGTGCTGGCACTAAAGAGTGTGTAGCCCAAATAGCTGAGGCTGGTCCCGGGGGAGAGAGAGAGCCAACGTGAAAGCAGAGCAGAGCAGTCAGAGTGGTGACAGCAAATGGTGGTGCTGAGGGGTGTTTCTGGCTGCTTTTTTTGGTAACTGTTTAAAATCTTGAGCAGAGGTTATGTTATTTGCATGGGAGAGCTCCATCATTACAGGGGAAGCTTTTGCAGTTGAAAGGGGATTGGAGTAACTGATCAAATGTACAGAGCCCAGGTAAATAATTTGTTTTTCTGGTGGCTTTCACCTCTGATGCTATGGATGTGGTATCTCATCGCCATATTTTTCCTCTGCTGCTTCACATTTTAGCACGAGGTGGCAGCACTGGTGCCATGCCTGTGCATGCCTGTCTCCGTGCTCGGCCCTGGCATCCTCTGCCTCCCATGCCAGGCCTGCCCTCGCCGCTGGTACCCTCTTCTGCCTTCTGCCGGGCAGCAGTTTAAGCTTGGTCTCTGCAGACTGTCCAAGCTGTTCAGGAATAGACAGTGCTCTCGGACGTTGGAATGGACTTTCGGTCTGTGTTCGTACAGCTCCTTGCACTGCAGGCTCCTGATCTCTAATTAGGTCTCCTAGACACCACAGTAATGCAAATAATAAAAAATAATAATGAACCTAGGTTTCCTCATCCCAAACACAACCTCCATATGATGGCATCTCATTCATTTGAAAGGAGGAGGAAAACATTCATTTGTGTCCATTGAAATGCAGCCCATTTTCTGGTCAGCTGTGGCCAATATGCCTGGCACTGTTTCTTAATTGAAAAATTCAGCCTGTTTTTCAATCAATCTGCTAATTTTGCTGTGGTGATGATTTCCTTGTACCAGAAGCTAATCACATTCAAACCTTTGTTTCCCATGATGTGCTGTCAAATGTAGCTCAAAAATGTTGTCCCTGTTTCTCTTCTAGTCCCTCCCTCCAGTTGTTCCTTTTCAAAACACCCACATCCACGCCCCTCCCCAACAAATAAAACACCACCAAAAACTCCAAACAAACAAAATAACCCAATAAAACCCCCCAAAAGCCTTGCTGTCTGCTCCCCATCCACAACATATTTTACTCTTGGGCTGCTTACCTTGCTTTAATGGAGATCTTGGTGGACTCCAAGTAAGGAGGTGCTCGTAACAGTACCTCAGACATGCTGAGAATGCAGTGTCTCTCAAATATAACAACATATTTATATGGAATGCTGTACAGGGGGGTTGGAACTAGCTGATCTTTAAGGTCCCTTCCAAGCCAAACCATTCTGTGATTCTGTGATTCTATGATTCTATTATTATGTTTGTAGATGTTTGTGATAAGGATTTTTGGGATGTTCTTGTGGGATGGGGCTTCTCTCTGCAGAATCAAATAACCAGAGAGAGGTTCCCACACCCGGTAAGTGTCAGCAGTGTGAAAATGCTCTCTTCAGGCCTATGGATCTGTGAAGAAAATGTCCTGTTGGAGTCTCTGTCCAATTTAAAAGCATTAAACACTACATCCCTATTTTCCCCTGAGCAAGAAAGAACATGGTGTCCAGGAACAGGAATTTTTATGCTGTGCTCCTCCCCCACCCCCATCAGTTCTTGCTTTCTTGGCCACATACAGGTGTACAGTTGGAGAAGGAATAATTTTTGACTTCTCATCTGTTTACCCTGTTTCTTACGAGGCTTGCAAACTCTGCTTGGTTCCTCTGATTCTCATCTCAATAATTTCTTGGGAGAAAAAGTCACTCTACCACTGAGACATATTTTAATATAACCTCTCTTGCTGTGGTGTACTGCACTTGTAACAAGTTCTAGCTCAGCTTTACCTACTTAGCTTTGACCCCTGACCTAGAGGAGGGAAACAGTGGTAGATCTAAAGTCTTTCTCTTGCATTTCCCCCTTGATACAGTAGAGCTCCTGTTGCACTGCTGTCCTCAGCAACTCCCCGGAAACTTCTCCACCAACATGAGGGGGGGAAGCAGTAGGTTACGTTGGGACAGGAGAAACTCTCAACAAAAGGTTTTGGGGTTGGTTGTTGGGTGCGCAGGCAGGGAAGGTTGCTGCTGGATGTGCTACCGACCTTCACTGATGGCTGAGGTGCTGGTTGAAAGGGAGCAGCCACGTGAGGTCTTGTCAGTGCTGGCCCCCCTGCCTTTCCTCTTGTGAGTGGAGCTGTGCTGGCAGGGACGGCTTGCGCTGTACTTCCGGTCGCTATAAAACACGATCGACTCCAACCTTTGGTGTTGCTCTGTTAGGTGATGTGGCAACGCAGGCACTTCTGATCAGATCCCTACTATTGTGCTGGCCAGAATTGCTTTAGGCTCTGCCAGTTGACAGCAGGCAAGTTAAACTGGGCTAAACTATGCCCAGGTAGCTTGAACGGCATCCACTTGCTAGCTGAGCGGAGCTGGAACGGGGTCGGATTATGGCTACCTGCTTGACCCTCAAAAATGCTCGTGACATGCATCTTGTGCTGGAGACTAGGGCTGGATGTTCGAAGTTAGCAGTGCTGGTATCGTGTCACCCAGGAAGCCTTCTGCGTGGTTTCCCTGGCTTTTACACAGCCAGAATCGTGGGGTGGGACTGGCTGTGGAACGAGGAAGGAACTGTACTGTCTAATGATACATATCACTTGGTTGAAGTCATGCCTCAGCTTTGCAAAGGTTTCTTAAGCTTGAACACTAAGGGTTTATGTACTTCCATGGCAAATGCTTCTGTGGTTATCCTGCAGCATGAATACACAAACTAAAGCTATTATTTATTCGTGACGCTTGTATGACAGAGCCTACGTCTACCAATAATTTTGCTTATAAATCTATTTTAATGCGTTCCCTGTGTTATGTGACTGTTTGCAGTACGGAAAATGCCTTTTCTTGTCATGTGAACTGTCACAGGTCTTGATTTCTGTGTTTAGAGTAGCATTTGCATATTTTCATTAGAACAACACAGTGGTTTGATAAGACAAAGGTAGCTATAATTTACGCTGCCTAGCTCTTATGTAGACATGAGACAGCAAGTGTAAAAAGGGGCAGGTTCTGTTTGCATGGAAACCCGTGGTACCATTCTGACTGACTTCAAGGGGAGTAGAACAGCAGCCCATCATGTATGAGCCCCAGTCCTTATTGGCACGCGTACAGTAGAGCAGTTACACGCGTTGAATGTGCTGTTAATGTAAATTCGTGGGCTCGCTACCCAAAGTGCTTCTACTCACGAAAGCTTTTAACACCTCCGTTAAGTCTATTTTGTCTGCTCAGATACAGTTTGGTTTTTCTCCCTGCTGGCTTTAATTAGTGTGTGGAAGGTCTGGTTTGGTTGGTTACCATGATCAAAATTCCTTTTAAACGCCCGTTTCCTAGATCTTAGGATTTTTCTTCTGTGACAAGAAAAGCATTGGTTCCTCCTTCTTTTTTTTGCAGGACCGTTCATCAGCGTAGTGTTGTCAAAGCTGGAGAACATGCTGGAGAATTCCTTGCATGTGAATTTGCTGCTTATTGGGATTATTACTCAGCTGGCAAGTTACCCACAGCCTCTTCTTCGCTCCTTTCTGCTCAACACCAACATGGTGTTTCAGCCCAGTGTGCGGTCGCTCTATCAGGTATTTGATCACAAGCGTTACTCGTGCCGACTTGAACAGTATTTTTGGTGTCCCATTAACCCTCACACTAGTTCTTCTCAGTTCCACCAGTTGCCTTCCCACCTGTCTGAGCACCTCTAACCTCATTTTGAGGTTTTAATTACATTTGCGGGAAGAACTGGAAATGCTGTACGACCGTAACTTTTGTTGTACTTCCAGTGTAAGGCAGCTAGAGAAAGGCAGAGTGTTCAGTCTGTGGCTGTGCTGGGAGCAAGGCAGGAAGAAGTAATTGGTACTGTTGTTTTGGCAGGTGCTGGCATCTGTGAAAAATAAAATTGAACACTTTGCTTCCATTGAAAAAGACTTCCCAGGGCTTCTCCTGGAGGCCCAACAGTACTTGCTGTTTCGTGTGGACACGTCTGATGCCACGGAAGAATTGCTAACCACAGGTAAACGTTAACCACAGTCCAAGGGGGCTGGGTGGAAAGACTCGCCAGTTACCCCTCTCTCATCTTCCTGCCACACCATTAGAAGTAGGTGTGGTGCATTGTGAATATCATTTAACCTGAGGTACCCTTCTGACTTTAAACTGATGATGCTCCATATGCCACAGTGTATGGATCTATTTGGATATTCATTGCTCTTTAACAGCTCTTATTTACTACAGAAAATGTCTGTTTAAAGAAGTAACAAAATCAGTTCTTGGCTCACTGTCAGTTGGGCCGTAAACAAACTTGCTTTCAAGGCATGAGGCGAGGTGGCATATGTGCATGATTTCATTTTATTTTTAGCCTGACCTTCAGCTAGTCACTGGTTCTTTTTTGATTAATGTTAGGGAGGACAGAAGTCCAGAATGAATTGGTGCCTGCAACATTTGAATAAGGCTTCATATCATGGTTTGGGCTACTACCGAAGGAGATGGATATTACCCAGAAAACTTTGAATGTGCATTCTTGAATGAAAAACAAACCAACAACACAACAAAGGGGGGTGGGGGGGGTGGGATGTGTGTGTGTGTGAAAGCCAGGACACTTGGAGAGCAGTGGGGAGTTTAAACAGGTTTCATCCCAACAAGCCAGCTTTCCAGGGGACTTCTGTATCATCTGCTGCTTCTCAAGCACACTGGATGCTCTGCCTGTCTACACAGTTACTAGCACTTACACTGCCATGGGGGAAGCTCGTAAAAATAAGCAAAACGAAGAAGCTTACGTTCTAACCAAGAACTAGCCAGACACAGCTAGGCAACCTGTAGAATTGTGGCCCTGCCCTGGAGACGTGCTTGTTCTCAGCTTGCTGCTGAGCAGGCTGTGCTGGGTGCTGCTTTCCCTTAAAAGCCAACTTCCCGCACACTGGGGATGTGTCGAGTTTGGTGAGAGCAGGTGACCGCGGTGACTTAGAGCGGACTTGGCTGCAGGGTTGAGGAGAGGCTGCGTTTACAGGTGTGCTTACTCATCCCTGCGAGTCATTAATAGTCACATACTCTGCACATACCTGTCTGAAGACATTGGTACGTTTCTTGGAGTTCCAGAAGTATGGAAAGCAGGAGTTTTTATGTGCTGTTTGAATCGTGTTTTCATTTTTTGAGGCTTTGAATAGTAATTCACCGAGTTTCTAGTCAGCGTGTTATTTTTTCTGAGGTTTGCAGTACATCTAGTGTGTAAAACTATGATCTCGCTAAGGCTGCCTGTGGAAGGTGCCTGCTGTAGAGGAACTGTGCATTGCATGTGTTTTAGGCTCTACATTCTGGTGCCATAGATTAGAAAGCCTTACAATTAGATGGTATTGTACCTAGCATGTGGGGGATGACATTTGGAGGCAACATTTAGCGCCCTTTTTTCAGGTGCTGGCAACCAGAACACTTTTATAAGGCATTCCCAATGACAGTTATTTATACATCCCATTCTATGCCGGTTTTCTTCTGCGGGCATCAGAAATTGCCAGGTTGACTCATGCTGGTCATTATTTAGGAGTTTGAAACATGGCTGCTTAGTCACCCTGTTGGTACATTTTCTTCTGTGTTGTGGAAGGTCTTGACAGATAGACGGGGCGTAAATAAGTGCCTGGATGGCTGTGGACTTGGTTCCCAACGAGACTGGTGACGCAAGTAATCAAAGTGTAATCCTAGGGGCAGGTGGCTCACTAGTCCATCAACCCACAGCAGTTCATTATAATGATTAAGGCGTGCAAGGTAGGAACTGCTGCAGTAATGGCAGAATTCAATAACCTGGTCAAACAAAACAAAAAAAAAAAAATCAAATCTCTTGTCCCTAGACCAGTTTTCTGTGCCCCTACACCCCCAATGAAGCAGTTAAAATCAAAATGTTTTTAGGAAAATGTATCAATTTTGATCCTTTCTGAAGGGAAGAGTTTAAAAAAAAAAAAACCAAACCACTTTGAGTGTCCCAGCATTCTGGTTATATTGGCTGAACTGTCTTAACAACTGAAAATATTAATTATAAAGCATTCTGATGTTAGAAAATGTAAAAAAAATAAAAATCTCTTCAAGGGAATCTCAACTTTAGCTTTTCATTGTAATTCATAATTTAAGTTGTTTTTCCTTCCCCAGTGAGAATTTTCCACAGAACTGAAGTTCCTGTACTCTGTCTCTAGCAGATAAAAATTTGCAGCATAACAATATGAATGATTGATAAGTCTGGAGTTGGAAAGGTTTTGTGAAACTCGAGACAAGTACAGCTCTGTCAGATGATTAAGGTGAAAATTCCTTGGGAGTGTTTGGAAGCGTACGGTAATTCCACAGTGCCTTGAGAGCACTAGAGGAACGGAGGAAGAGCGCAGAGCTGCTGCACAAGAAAAAGAGGGATTGCCCTGCTGCACGAGGCAGGGGATTTACCTACGGGCTTTGCGTTAGCTGTGCTCGTAGGGGTGTCAGAAAAAGGGTGACGTCACCTGAGCCGAGTTGTTTTAACATCAGCTGCGTGTGCGTTAAGGGAAACCTCTTCCTCCTGCAGCGATGTTGGGTTTGGCTTATCTGCAGTGTGGGAGTTACTATGGCAGTCCTTTGGGTTTTTTAGGAATGCTTTACTTGTACAGCCCATGCAAACACCCGCTTGTGAGTCAGGCGGGACTCTATCTGTCTCCGCTCTGGCCTCGATGACATCTTGTGGCAGGGAGTTCTGCTGGCTGATTTTACTTTGTAAAGTATTTATTTCCATCAGTGTTCCATTTTGTCACCTTTTTAGTTTCACTAAATTAATTATCATCTAATTAAAGTGCAGTTCTGCTTCAGGTTGAAACAAGGAGCGATTGATTGAAATCTAAGTGCCGCTGTCACTGTAATTCCATGCGTTCTGATGCTCGAGCCCTGATCTCTGGCAGCAGAGATCAGGTAGCAGAGCATGCGGTGGGTTTTGCTTGCTCTTTTTCTTTAGTGTTTACTTGCTTTGCAGGGAGTTAAAGGTACGTGTAGTTAGTTCTGCAGCTGTAGAAAAATCAAATGTTCAAATGTAAATATTTTTTCCCTCAGTTTTGAGCTTTCTCCAAACTCCCATGGCAGTGTGATAGCTCGGCCTCAAACCTGTTCACATGGTGATTTACGGGGTGAGAATAGAGAAAGAGAAGTGAAGTCCAAAGTGTATTCTGATCTGGGGGAGGGCTAGAGCAGGGTATAATTTCGACTGAGACAACCATGCTGGGTCTAGATGGGTAGATTTTATCTGCTGTTTCATAAGGCAAATCCATATTACTCCTTCCCTTGACTCCTCTTCTGCCCACATATTTCTCTCATCAGAGCTAGAACTGAATAATATATAACCTGGGGAAAGACAGCTAATAAGAAATGCAATAGAATTGGGCCATGTAGAACTTTAAAATGTTGGATTAGAGGAGTGTCTCCCTGCACAGTCTGGGTACTGCAAACTACAGCTCTGAGCACAGCCCTTGTAAATGGTCCCCATTTACACCACAGCACCAATACTCTGCCCCTAATGCACCAAGTCAGTTTTTTCCTTTCCTCTTCTCTCCTCCTGGCTTTAGGTAACGTCCAGCACAGCAGCAGCGGAGGGAAAGGAAGGAACCTCTCTGACGCCTACCCGGCTCTGCTCCAGCCTTTCCTGGGACAGAAAGAAAAGAAAGGCCTGGCTCATCCCGGTCTTCCTGCACACGTGAGGAATGCTGTACTCGCAGCTGCCCTTTTCCCGGAGTTCCTGAAGGAGCTGGCAGCTCTTGCCCAGGAACACTCCATTTTATGTTACAAAATACTGGGGGATTTTGAGGATTATTATTGATGGTTGTTTTAAAAAAAAATGTTTTGGAGCTTAAACAGGTTTTTAATGCAAAGCTGCTTACAAAAGAAGGTTGTACTTCAATATTTCCTGAAAATACTTGATTTGGAGGGGCAAGAAGGAGGCAAAATGTTATTCCATAGTACCTTATATTAGGCCTTATAACTTCCCTCTGTGCTACATAACTTTAATGGAGAGATTTCTGACACTGCTCTTGCTGCAGCTTCCTACTTCATCTCCTCCTCTTTGTGCAGCCACCCTACTAGCGTCGCTGATTCCCGATGAATTTCTGCAGTGGACGCTTGTGGGTTGGCTACGATAGGCGAACGCTTTAGCCTTTTCTGTTCCAGAGGTACTCTTCCGGGTAACTTGTTAGAAGACAGTTTGTTTGGAAAAACATTGCCCTGCGAGAACAGTTCCGAGTATAAAAATACAGGCAAAACCCGCACAAGGTTTGCGTGAAGGGTTGTGCTGCTTCATGTCTTTGTCCTCTTCCCCCTTCCTTTTCCCTGGAATGGGTTCTTGCCAACCCAGGTCTGAAGCCCTCTCTTAAGCAGTGGCTCAGTGTTTTTGAATTCAAGTGATCTTATGTGTGCTAAACCCCCGAGTAGCCGAAAGCAGGTGCCAGGCCCTACGCATACCGTATTGCCTTATGTCGCAGACAGAGCTGCAGCTATCAGCTGTTGGTCTTTGAAGTCAACCGAACTGCGTGAGTGGATGTGGATCGCAGACCGCCTGGAATTTTCCTCGCGGTTTCTCAGCGTCCTTTGCTAACTGCTGCATTGCTACCGAAACTCTCAAGCACGCCTTAGGAAGATTTGCACAAAGTCCGAACCAGAACGTTTCTATGCAAGCTGTAATTAGTAGGTAGTGTGGGTTTATGCTTGCTTCGATAAGCTAAAGAAAGGTATTCAGTACCTTTCAGTAGTATTAACAGGACAGCAAGCTGCTTTTGTCTTTTTTTTGATGAAAAAAGGTTGGCTTGCTGTTCTATTGTTATTTCTTTTTTGGTTAAGGGAAAGTTAAATACTGTTTGTTTACTTTAAATTTAGGTGTTGACTTTTCCTAATATTGCACTTTTGGGATGGTGAGAGGAGGAACAAACTATCCACCAGCTATAGAAAAGGAAGGAGTAACGGGGAGAGCTGTCTGCTGGTGACTAACTGCTTGAGAAAATTCTCTTCTGTGAGTAATGGGCTTCCTTGGAAGAACCCAAACATGATAAATTGGTGCATCACCACTGCATTTCGTCTTATCTTAGTAGCATAATTGTGCTTCCAGTGTGCTGTAGTTGGCTACATAAAGAGGGGCTGAAAGCCTTAAACCCCTTTGTCCAGGAAGGAAGCTGACAGTGACTCCAGGATATCAGAAATAAGTTGCATACATTAGTTCTCGCGCTCACTGTAATTCCGTAACGTGGGATGCTGCGGTTAATCACACCCTGATTTCAAAACAGGCTTTCTCAGAGATCGCAAGGGAAGAGGGCACTATAAAAACAAAAGAAACAACACTCTCCAGAAGAGTCTAATTAATTACAGGTCAAATTCCTGTGGAATGTGCAGTGCAGTTTAAGCTCCTAAATCCTTCAGAAGCTTCTGAGAAGTTGTACCTTTAATCAAGAAGCTGTGAGGCGCATTCCTTGTGTCAGACAGCTGTAGGCTATTCCAAGGGAAAAAAAAACCAGAACTCCCAAGTGTACCTCTAACAAAATCACCTCAAGAAATTCCCTGGGTCCATCCTCCCTTGTTTGCTGTACAGTCTTCACTTCCACACTGGCTGGGGGTCATGTTGCTTCCTAGCTGGCTCCCTGGCCTGCTTTCACTTCCAACTTGTTTAGTTTTTTTAGGCTAGGAAGGCACCCCCAGGCATCCTTGGAAGCTGGAGCCAGCTGGGTTTTTCTTAAACCTTAGTTATCCAGGTTTAAGAGAGCTCTTTCCTTTTTTCCCCTGCGTTGTTGTTGTAAATGGGTGATGAGCAGGTTTGGGGGTGGTTTTAAGCTTGTGCTAGGATGGGTGAGTTCCCTCCCCGCTCCCGCTATTACCGTCACGCTGTACTAGCCGGCCTGGCCCGAAGGCGTTTGGTAGTGCCGTGTGTGGGAAGTGCTGCAGCACTGGGGGTGCAGGGGCAGCGCTTGCCCCGCTCCTCACCTCTTCCGGTAGGAACTGTATGTGAGCGAAAGCAAAGGTACCCAGTGAGAGTAACCAGCTAACTTGTAGTGGTTCAGAAACACATGCTGAATTGCAGAAGCAGCCCGATCCTAATTCTGAAGGCCTTTTGGAAAAAAAGGAATGAAAAATAATGTTTATTTTTTTAAATACTCTGCAGACCAGTGCTCAAGGCAGTAACATTACTGTGTGAAGGTTCCCCTCCCTTATATTTATTCTAAAATAATCATCTTCACTTCTTTCTTTCCTCTTTTTTTGAGTGTGTTAATTTTAACTGGTGTTTTCAACAATCGTACAAAGTCACGGCCGCTTTGCCTCGGCAGATCTGCTCAGCTGCATGGGGATTTCAGAATGCAGACTGCTCAAAAAAGCATCCGTAAATTTAAGGAAGGGGAGGATTTACCTCATAAGCTGTAGCAGAGCTTATGCTGTACATCTAGTAGGATAAACTCAGCCTTTGAAACCTGGAGTCACGTGGAAGACTCCTTGCCAAAAGGTCAGAGCTGTGTTTGTGCACAGTGTCCCCTGCAAATGGGAAAACTGTCTGTTGGCCCCCAAAAAGGAGGAAGTGGAGAGGTATAGTGACCCCGGCCCAGGGCTGTGGAATGGCCATCATATGTATAACGTGCTGTTTCGTGGCTCCTAAGCAGGATCAGACTTGCAGCTACATCCGAGCTGCGCTGCCCAGCACCCTGCAAAAAAACCTGGCAGGAATTGCATCTTCCTGTCTTCGAAACGCAGAACCTGTGACTGAGCTGGGAAACGCTGATCCGCTGGGATGCATCACCTCTGCGCGCCGAAGTTCTTCAGCCAGGCACCTGTTTAATAAGCTGCTTCCCTCTGGGTAGACAAGGTGTTATCCTCTCTCTCACCCACCACGCCTCTTTTTCCAAAAAAGCGCCCAGATGCTTGTGGTCCAGCTGGTAGGCCCGGGAGGACACAGCATCATGCCTCTCTGCGGGCTGGGTTTCCCCGTGCTCCCGTGCCTGTGTGACTACAGCGGTCCCTCTTCGGCACGTTGTCTCGGTGTCAGTCACGAGTGAAGTGTCTCGAGGTTGGCAGATCTGTTCCGAAGCCTGCAGGTGGTGGCTCAGTGAGACCACAGTTAATTTCCAGTCACCTGCTAGATGTTCCAGTCCGCGAACGGCATTTTTCCAACAAGGTAGCCTTGGAGCGTGTGTTTAAGCTGTTCTGCCATAGCAAGGATTCTTCCCGGCGCTTTCAACCTGCTGTTTTTTGGTAGCCTGCAGCAAACTCTTTGTCTTAAACCAGTTGCAGCCATTCTCTAACTTCGGGCGTGTTTGGGCACCGTGTGGGTTAGTCTCCGCGCGCGTGCACAGGCGGTTTGTACTGACCGGGCTGAGGCACCTGGCAACTGTTATTCAGGACCACCTCGCCCTCTGCACCTGCTGATCCTGGGCCACGTACAGTCACTTGCAATCCATGTGCTGCGGCCCAAGTTGGCCCGATTTACTGCCTTTTCATTGTCGTATTCTAGGTGTTTATCTTAAATTTGCTCTTTTCCATGTGTGCCCTGGAAAAAAAAAAGAAGGGATTTCAAATGAGATCAAGTTGTTGGTGTTGCAGTTGCAGATGTGGAATTGCCTTTGTTTGTCCTGGTAACTTCTGGCCTTGGTTTGGAAGAACAAGAAATGAGAACTGCTGTTCTCAGCTGTATCCCCTGGAGATGAGAAAATTCCCAGCAGCAGGCATGGGCTGTCCTTCCCACTGTCTATCCTTTCCAGATCCATCCCTCAGAGTATCCAGTTCCTAAATGACTTCCTACTTCTTTCACTGGGGTTAGTCACCTTGTAAAAGGTCCGATGGTGTTGCGTGGCGTCGTGCTGCCGTCCCCACTGAGTGCATTTGCCTTTCAGATGCAATTTCATCTTTTTAGTGAGATGGGTGCATTTCCTGGAATGGGAGAAACCACAGTGGGGTCGGGGCAGACCCTGTGATTTTGGAAGGGGCATGGGACCAGAGGGACAGTAAGCCCGAAGAGCGTTCCTGCCGCCGGCACCAGTCTGATCGCTCTGCAGCCCAGGCACCATGCCCAAGTGCTCTGTTCACCCCTTCGGAGAAGAACGTGTGCAGACAGACTTACTGCATCCCACGGAGTCCAGGGGTTGAAGTTCACGAGGTCAAGTTCTACTTACCACCAGAAGCCTACTGTCTAGCACCGCGCCTACGCGCTCGCTGCCCGTCCATGCACTCTGCTTAGGCCTCGCAGAAGGCTTCATGCGCCAGGAAGGGTTTTTAGCTCCTCTAAGCAGCTCTAAAATCTTGGGGTTGGGAAGAGAAGGATGGGAGCGGTGTGATTTGGTGCAGTTAGATTATGTCGCCGTATCATTTGAATTTGCAGCCACAGCTCCTGTTCGAGGGCAGCTTGATTTAATAAGCAATTTACTATGCTGTATTTACTGAAATTGCTGTGTCATGCCTGCGGAGTTTACGGCGGCTCCTATCGCATTTGTAACATTTAAACTGCGTCTGCGGTTGCTAGTAGAATACTGGGCTTTGCCTCTTGCTTCCCTTGTAGCTCGCCTAGCTCTGGCACAGAGCAGTAACGCTGCTACCGCGGCCAGAGCCGAGTCAGACAATGACAGCATGCTCTGCCTTGCACCTTCGGAGCGCTGTCGGCAGACACGGAGTGTGCGTGACCCTCGGGCCGCTCACGTTAACGAGCAGGCCGAAGGTGAACCGCCGCAGGTTAGCCGGGGCCACTCGCCCCTCTCTGAAATGCAGCAAGAATTTACCTGTGGTGCTCTGCTTTACTGGGACCGGGAGGAAAAAGGTCAGCGCAAGGTTGAAGACGGAGCGTGACAGTGTGCGATGGTT